GGTAGGCACTGAGAATGGGTTGACAGGTATGTAGTAGTGTATAGTGTATTGTATAGTAGTCTATAGTGCAGGGTATAGTAGTGTATAGTGTAGCGTATAGGATGAACGTTGAGATTTATAAGGGCAGGGAATGACCAATAAGGTCTGAATTGGTCTGTAATAATAAAGTACTGATATGGAGTTGACAGGTAGGTAGTAGTGTATAGTGTAGTCATAATAAAGTTGTTTGGGTTAGATCGCGTCATTTATATGACACGGCCAATCAGTAAAAAATGTGTCACTTTGACAAAAGACAAAATAGTTCACTACCTTAGCCCACCGGTGTATTGAAGAGTGAATCCACAAAATTTACAAAAATTGTTTAGTGTAGTGTATAGTAGTGCATAGTATAGTGTATATGATGAATGTTGAGATTCATAAGGGCACGGGGTGCCCAACAAGGTGTGAATTGGTCTGTAATTATAATGTGGGCACTGGTTGACAGCTATGAATAGCCATCATTGACGCGACATTATGGAATTCAGCGGTCACCAACCTTTTTGGCACCAGGGACCGTTTTCGTGGAAGACAATTTTTTCACGGACCAGGATGAGTGGGGTCATCATTGGGTTTTTCCCCTCTTTTCAAAGAAGCTCTTCAGCGACGTTTGTTTTTTTTACTCATTTTGGCCAGGGGGTTAGCAGCTTGTGGGCTCTCCAAAACTGTGACAAGTGCGCAGTGCGGGAAAGGGTCGAGGACGGAAGTGGTAAACACTAAAATAATTGGGGCGGGCCACGCACGGACTCACCGCCCTCACCTCCTGCTGTGCGTCCCGGTTCCTAACAGGTCACGGACCTGGGTTTTGGGGACCCCTGCCCGAGTTGCCAATGGGATCTCAGTCTCTGGCTCGCTCTGACGCCCAACGGGAATTTCCAGAAGCCTCATCTGGGGCAGCCAAGGGTTCTTGTTTTCTTTTCGTATTTTTAAAAGCCAGCAACGGGCGGGGGGGGGGGGTGCTCGTTGCGAGGCTGCGTGGGTTCCCCGCCAGGGTTGTGGTGCACCGCCACCCCACGTGGCTGCCATTGCGTAATCGCGGAAAATGGCATGTGCGAGGCGGGTGTGGACCAGGGAGGGTTAGGGACCGCGGTGAACACGCGGCACCTAGGGGCAGCACTGCCTGTGAAAAAAAAAGCAATGATGGAAGCACTGCTTATGTAATGCCCATCCCATGCATGCGTCGAACTCTAAATCAGAACGAGCGTGGATTGTACCGGCGACGGGGATATGCTGGCGATGTCTCCTGCACGTATTCGCATACCTGTCGACCCCAAATCAGTGCCCTGTACTTATTACAGAACCAATTCAGGCCCTATTGGTCACCCCGTGTCCCTTATAAATCTCAATGTTCGTCCTACAAAGTCCCATCACAAGGGAGAAACACAAAGAAATAGACAAAAAGTAACAATCGCCCGTATTGAAACGGCTGTACGCCATATGTACCTAAAAACTAAATTTCCCTGTACAAGTATTTTGTACACAATGCCTCTGGCCCCATAACGAGCAGGGAGTGTGTGTGTGTGCCTTGAAATGTAGTGGGTGGTTGAGTTGGTGAGTGGATTAGTGAATGAGTAGGTGAGTGAGTGAATGAGCTGGTGAATGAATGAGCTGGTGAGTGAATGAGCTGGTGAGTGAATGAGCTGGTGAGTGAATGAGCTGGTGAGTGAATGAGCTGGTGAGTGAATGAAGTGGTGAGTGAATGAGGTGGTGAGTGGATGGATAAGTGAGTGAATGAGTGTGTGAGTGAATGATTAGGTGAGTGAGTGAATGAGCTGGTGAGTGAATGAGGTGGTGAGTGGATGGATGAGTGAATGAGTGTGGGTGAGTCGGTGGGAGTAGTTGCCAGCTTATCCACAGACCAAACCCAGATCAAGCAATGCTAGTTGTCCACATGTATATTATTATGAACTAGCTTCTTTGCCTGTCCTAGGACGGAAGCTGTAATATTTACGAAAAAATTGAGCAGAGTATAATTGTATCTTGTATAAATTTAATGGCAGTGAATCTTGCACTAAATATGTCATCAAACACTTCACTGCATTTCACTGTAGCAATGTATTAATGGTAGTGATTCTTGCACAAAACGATATCATTAAACACCTCACTTCATATTCTCATGTCACTGTAGCACTGTATATAACTGACCTTCAATTTTGTTCAAATTCACTGCTCTGATACTTTATTCTCTTTTGCTTTTCGGTCGCTGGGGTTGAAATGTCTATTTTACCATAATGTAGAAGCATCAATAGACTTACCTTTTGTCTCAAGTGCTGAAGAAATAAAAAAAGACGTCAATCCACTTTGTTGCTGCGTACAATTATTTATGAGATTCACTTGCAATAAAGAAACGTCAAACTCAAAGCGAATTTGCGAAAACAAAGTTATTTCCACTCGACCTTCTGCGTGAGTGTAAAAATCCACCCGCTCATGAATATTAATGACGGGGGGTGCGGCATGTGGAGTGACGTCACGTGCCGTTACACACAAACAGATATTCTTGGCTCATTATAGTAGTAATGTTATATGTAATAGAAAGTAATAATATGCTTCACATAATTTACACCAGGGTCGCTATTGCAAAAAGAGAAATGCATTACAGTATGTCCCAACAGGTCCAAATATCCTGGTTTAATAATACCTTTTGTGTATGGCACTTTTTAAAACGCACAATAGGTTTAGAACCACTGTAATCAAGTTACAGAAAAATGCGCATCACACCAATAATACATCGTATTGTAAGAATGCTAGAGTACTGTACAGTAATTCTATTATTTCGGAAATCCACACTGTCATGAAATAAACTTGTTCTGGAGGGTCCTACATATACAGCATCTAAACCACGTGGCCATCCTTACTCGGAATCCCTTCCCCTCTCCCCGCCCCTTGACAAAACAGACGCTGTTACGTGCAGTGTCAACACCCTATCTTTCCTAACCCTTTGCTCCAGTTTTTCTGTTTCTCTTCCACAATTTCCTCTTATTTTCCACTCTCTCTCTCTCTTCCCTTCCCCCTATATCGTTTTCCATCCATTACATCCTCGACTCGACTCAACCTCATTAGCCCAATGTTATGAATGAGTGTTATGGCCAATTAATACGCTTTTCTTGCACATATATTCGAATAGTATATACGTGCAGAAAATTCGTCGACAACAAATTACCTCAGTGCAAAAACCAAGACGGTTAATGTTGTATTCACATGTAGAGGAGAATCAATTTTACTTGGCACATGTTTAGGAGTGTATGGCTAATTGCAGTGATGAATGATTTACACGTCTAATGAAATAAAATATGCAAGCAAATAATCAACTTATAAAATTACGAATAATAAACCAACATTTGTTGAACAATTCCAATATGTAAATTATGACAACCCATTACAGATACAAACTAGTGTAGGCTCGAACACATTTCCCTTAACCCGAAACAAAAGTGTGCACTGTGTACAAAAAGCTATCAGTTTTAAGCATCATGCAGAACCACCAGCTCCTGAAGAACTGCATTGTGGTAATATTGGTAGTACCGTCATCATGTCTAAAGGAATTTAAGACAACATGAGCACAACAGAGTTCAGAATTGTATTAGTTTTGGAGCTTTTTGTAGACAGTGTACACATGTTTGTGTTGTTGAAACATCTCTAGGAAAACCCACAACACAAATTCGTAATGAGTAATTCTTAAGGAGTGGCTCCATTTTTATTTGACAGTAACTGAGAAGATCGCTATGCAGTTTTTCAGGAATTGCTGATTGTTTATATTTTTATTGCACAAGGGCTGAGTGCTTTTTAAACATAATTGTGTCTCGTTTGAAATGTACCTTGGGGTAAAACTTGACATGTTAATATTCGCTTCTACGTCGAGAAAGAAAACCTCTTCCATATTTGTGCTATGAAGATGGGCCGTTGACTAAAACATCACCGTCTTCAGCTTCACCTGAAGACGGCTGCTTGCGTTGTAGCCGAAACGTCGTGAGAATTATTTTATTATGTTTTATTTTTATTATTTTATTACTTCCCTTCTACGTGACTTTACCGAAAGAACCAAGAAGATGAATCCCTGCAGTCACGAAAGCTTTAAATCGAAATTTAAATCACCTTATATATTTTTTCTTTTTTAGGCCACACACAGTGTCATTATTGACGAATGTGAGTATTGTGCACATCTAACATAACCTTCCTCAGAATCATCAGCTCAACACACACTTCACGAACCTCGATGCAAAAACCAAGCACTGGACATTTGAGCAATGGCTCTAAATTAGCCACGAATCCTAGGGTACCTCCACTGCCACCACTCCTGAGAATGTTTCCAGTTTGAGAAGTTGAGATCGTGGTCTGGGATGCGGAGACTTTTAATGGACTAATTTCTCTGTTGTGATCAATCTTGTGCCTTTTGTTTTTGATTTGCGTGGCAGTTGCTGTAAATAAGATTTTGCCCTCGTTTATCAGTTTCATTTCAGTTTCATTTCTTTGGTATAGACCTGTGAGCCATTCGGCTCTTCAATCGGGTGCAACCGCAACAAACTAAAACATGAATAAGAAAACATCTTAAAGTGACTATGTGCAAACAGAAAATCCAGGAAAAGACAGCAACATATTGCAGAAAAAGCACCGTACATCAACGTTGTGTGCAAAAATCCCAGTGGGATGCAAGTCAAACAACAACAACCACCACAAGACAACGTAGATTAAGGCCATCAGTCTAACTCCGGACTACAACAAACATTGCCAAACCAAAACACGTTTTCATTAACGTACAGCGTTGTAGCGGTGCAATTAGCACGAATGCCGCATTACAGAGTCATTGCTATCATTCTTCTCGCAACGTCTCTCTAAAATCAGTCGTTTCTTTATATCTGGAGTTTAAATTTTCGTTTAAAAAATCAATAAAATGCCACTGGCGTCTGACACCCGGGGCCCATCTCAGCAAGCTGGGGGGTGGTGGCTTGGCAGGCTGCGATTGCCCGCGGTCCCTGACCTCAGCAAACCCAGTCTAGGGGTTGGATCCTTCGCTCGCTCGCTGCGTAGCCGTGACCCATCGCGATCGCATCTCGTTTAAGGGGGGCCCTAGCAGCCCCCCAACCCTCCCCCTTCCCCGATCTCTCTCCTAATATCTCTCAAACTATATCAAAACCCCCCTCCGCCTTTAGCCAGTCAGTCCTTAACCAGCCGTCTAGAGAGAGATCACCACACCGACTCGGCGCCAACTCATCATCATCCAGCGTGGGGCTTCGCGTCCGTGATCACAGCCGGTGGTGGTGGTGGTGGAGAAATAGGCATCGCGAGGAGGATGATGATGATGATGTTGTTTTGATGCTGCAATTGTTGTCTCCTGAGCCCGGTGAGTGCCCTTGATCGTCGCCGGGAGTTTTGTTGTTGTGCGCCGCGAGTAAATGGGGGGGGGGGGGGGGGGAGGCCTCAACTTTTTTGAGCGTCAGAAGTTTGCGTTTGTTTTGTGATCTCCCGGGTTGTGTGCACGTACCTCGGGCCCAGTTGTGTTGCTTGTTTCGTTGGTGCCGTGGCTTTTTGCGTAAAGCGTTCGCATTTTTGTCTGGCGTTTCGCGATTACAAAGTGACGTTTTGAAAATGAAAAAAAAAATCTGAAAATGTGTTAAGCGCGCCGCCGCCCAACCCTTGTGGCAATTAAGTGGCTTGTTGATGTTCAAACGCTAAATATAAACTTTTAGCAATGAATCAAGGGCTGGCTGCATTGCCCACAATACAATACTTGCGGGGAACATGCAAAACAAAAACACGCTGTGATGAACAGTGACGTTTGTGTTGTGATTAATGTGGAACTTTGGTTTGACTGCCACCCCCCGAGAAAGGCTGTGGAGAAGGTGCGTTGCCCGAAACGTCGCCCGTTGTATACTCTTATTTTCCTCTCCTTAAGGCCAACACATGTGTTGAGTGTTGTTGTTGTGGTAGTTGTGTTCGTTTACTCACCGTATCGCTCGTTTACTATCAAAACGATTAACAGTAATATTCGTTATTACTGTTAGCCAGTGATGCAAGTTAATAGGATAATATATCTGTGTATACGTCGTGTAAATGTACACTGTGTGTAGTGTATATGGGTTGGTCTGTAGGTGTGAGTTTCGACAGTACTGTATGACAGCATGTCGCTGTAATATCTACATCAGAGTACGTAATTGTATAGGGCACTTTGTGCATTATTATTATTAATGTAGTCTGATTACGATGTGTACAATGTGCAGAGGATAACGTACATCACAGAAAGCGTGTGTTTGATGGCGTTGAACACTTGTGTGTAAGATTTGGCACATGGTGAGCGTTGAGGAGGTGGAGGAGAAGGAGGAAGTGGCATGTTGTAACTAAAAACTTACTACAACAAGTGTCCAGACAGCTTTGGACAAAACGCAAAATGTTTTTGGTGGAGTGTGGGATTTAAGTTGAACGCCGGTGTGTGTGTTGTTGTTGTTGATGTGTTTGTTGTTGGTGGCTGTGATCGTGTTGTAGAATTGATGGAACACTTTTTGTTCGTACAATATATTAAAATAATAAGTTGAAGCTTGCTAATCCGGGGTATGCGTTTGCATAATGCTTACAACAGCCTCTTTCTCTTTGAGAAATAACTATAATGGCTTGTATAGTTTCTATATTTTATAGACTAAACTTAGTACATGTTCGGAATTGTCAGTAATGTCTTCATTATTGAGTGTTTGTAATGTTTGTATTACGATAATATTTAGATTGTCTTTTTGAATCTCTTGTAGAGAGAATATAAAAAAAATGTGTCTGACTGCTATGGTACACTTCAAGTACTGTACAGTAATGTACGTGTGTATACATACAACTGATCATCATGTGTATATAACCTACTGAATAACATACATTTACAACTTTTCATATGTATATGACAGTGACAACTAAATAAGTATACTGTATATAGACGAAACGTTTGTTTGTTAACTCACAACACTGTCACAAAAAAACATGAAATAAATCTGGATTCCTTTATTAAACTTCACGATTGGATTACTTTTACTAAAACTCAAGATTACTATTACTTTCATCATTGTCGAGTTCTTACTATTGTTTTTTTCCTTAGACCTTAGAAGCTGTCCGAAACCACCGCCCTTTCTTCATTTCCAGCATTCCACATTCTCGTCGTCTCTTGTGGCTGCCGCACAGTTACTGATTGAACAAAGTGACCTCTGCATTTCTGAACATTTGTTAAAGTTCACTCAAATCCCCTGACTAAGGCAGAGGAATTGAGATAGGATTATGATGAGCCAGGTGTACAGTTTACTCCGAGCCAGCCCCAAAAATAAGGAAACTATTCAGCTGGAGAAAAAAAACCCATTTGTCGAGGCCCAAGACATTACAGTACTTTATGAATCCATTGCTAGATGAAACCTGCCATCATGTCATGTCAGTCATGAGGGTTTCCTGACAACACTTTAAAAAAATCGTGAATAGGCCTCTTCTTTCAAAACAAGTGCATCCCACCGTAGTCCCCAAATGAGCAACCTTACATGTTATTGTTTGACAATCTTACTCCAAATTGTGATGAATATATTATTGTATCACTTTGAATTTGGTGAAGTTACGTGTTAGTAATAGTATACAATTTTCAATTCTTTTTCAAGCCACTGGTGGGTGAAGGCCTCTCCCATGCCGTGCCAGTCATGCAGGTTGCTTGACCATATTTCACCATGCCACAATGGTGTGGAACGGTGAAGTTGCGGGTGTTCAGGACCCGTTCAGATATCACTTGCCACCGATTTGAGCCGTGGCAAGTGTCAAATTGACACACACGAAGGTGGAAGCTGGTTAAATTGTGTAGTACGATTATTAGTGCCACTGAGGCCATGTGAATGCCCAATTTACGTGTTGAAACTTCAATTTTTTACCAGTTGCATGTTGCCAAAAACATCACCACTAATTTGGCGAATTCTGTAGAATGTTAATCTGTTTAATCTGCTACCCAAAGTTGATTGCAATTGATGTAGATTATAGATGGCACTTGGCACCAATGTAGTCAAGCCTGCTTATAACTAGAACAATCTGAAAACTGATATTTTTGACTTTGGGCTCCAAAAAAAATACAGTCCGGACGTTGATTGGTTTCACTCACAGGGCAGAGGGTTAGTCTAAATTTTGAAATCACTTACGAGTCTTGTGCCGAATATAACAATATAAATGATCACCCATTGTAAATGAGCACAGTGCGTTTGAGCTGCTGGCTTTAAAAGATGACGATGCTGAAATGTAATCTTTGGATTCATATATTGAGTGTTGGCCTCTTCAGGAATGTTGAAATTCAGCAGGATTGGTTGGGAGTTATATTTGTTGTTTCTTTACGTAACTTTTCCATGGCCGATTAGTGTTTTGGACAGTTTTTTATAGAGATAAGGGCAGCATAACTTTCATTACTTGTTGCAAAACCCCTCATTCGACTCATCTTCTCTGATTTCAAACAAGAGTTATTATCTGATATTAATGCCATTTTTATTTGTCATTTAAACAGCTAAGGGAATAGTGATCTATTATATCTTTAGCATAAAATGTGGTTTGTGTCATCACAGGACTGATGTGTGTTGGCAACGTTTTTTTAACATTGGTTACCGCTACCAATTAAAAGATGACAAGTGTTATTTAATTACATTGTGCTCAAGTCAGGGTTTCCCATAAGTCATTTCTCGCGACTTGCCACTGCATATTTTCAAAAAAAAACAAGTAGGTACATGCAGATGTCATTTTCAGAGTGAAAAAAACCTTAATGGATATTATACAGGACATAACTGGGACATCAGATGACAGTCAAAATTAACACTGGAATGGAGGCCGATGGATGAACGGAGGTAGACAGAAGTGACAGACAGTGGGGCCAGACCTTTGCCCAGCAGCGGGATGTTAATTGCTCAGCAAGAAAATTAATAAATCAGTAAACTGAGAGAATGAAAACAGAATTCCAAAAGTCCACCCAAAAATAATCCGCGAAATCCTGTAATCTGCAAACTATCCGCGGATCTCTACTCCTCCCGAAGTCCGCAGTGAATTCACGGATGGAGTGGCTATTTCGTCTTGTAATCCACGGCATAGTGCGCCGGCGGCCTTTCGTGGATTATTATAATTTATGGTAATGCTAGAACAAGTTTACTATCTATTTTTATGAGCATTTCTTAAAAAAAGCTGAAGATTGCAAAGAGGCCGCTCGTCGTCTTTGCAATGCGCATTTGGCGAAGTGTTTCAGTGGCGTAGCTGCAGAGAGAGATGCGGAGGTGCAGATAAAAACGACGAGGAACTGCAGGTAAACAAAAGGTGCTACAGTGCAAAAAGCGTAACTCCAGAATAATCATGATTTAAATTTATATAGCGCCCTTAAACAATCGTTCTCAGGTCGTTAAGAGAGAAATGTGTGGCTGCAGATAAAAATGGTACGTGAAATACAAATATTTGGCTACGCTACTTTTTTGGTTTTACATCAGCGCACATGAGCTGTGCTGATGTAATCTGTTGAGGAGTAAAAGATTCTTGCATTTTTTCAAAACTTGATTTCCAAGTCTCAACATATAAACAAAAACTCCTTTAATATAGATCCATATGGCACATTTGGTCAATTTGAATCTTGAAACAAATTGTAACCTCTGTCGGTGAAATGATTGCAGATTAAGGAAGCTGCTGCTTGTCACGTGATGCGCTTACCCTGCAACCCATACATATTTTGACAGATAACAGAGTCGTGCAGCTGATTCTTTCTGTTTTCCGTGACACACCGCGTAGATGCAACTTTTGTGCTGCTTACGGAACATACGTCCGCGGTGCGCCATGGAATACAGGATCTGTGATATGGTTCCCCTGTGCATCATTGGTCTGCTGTAACATAGCAGGGTGTCATTTATGTATATTGAACTTCTTTAGCATCATAGGTAGCCAACCCTGTAAATCAGAGGTGGGGGTGAAGGACAACAAACTAAGTACAAAAGCAGACATGAGAAACGCAGAGTTTGAAAAACTCTGCGGTGGAGACATCTCCAATTCAGTTTTCCCGCAATGTTTACGTCATGTGCGCATATAAAATGTATGACCAACGGCTGACTTTGCAAAACAAAACTTATTTTCAGTGAACGAGACACTGGGAGATCCGTGCACGAGGACTTCGGAGAGCAGGCAGCAGAGCAGTGATTTGGCCGCACCGCGGGGAGACTGCGCACGCCCCTCGGCATCGTCACACGTCCTCGCCGTGCGGTGGGTTTCTCCGGCGAGCGACCGAGTAGGCGAGCGAGCGGTCGAGTGCCCTCTCTCCGGTTCCGCCGACCGTCGCCATGTCCGAACACCCGAGCGACAGCGATTACTCGGCGACCTACGACGACCGGCACAGCGGCGGCGGGAAGGCGACGCCCCCGGGCAAATTCAAGTTCTCGGACAAGAACAGCGACGAGTACAAGCGGCGGCGGGAGCGCAACAACATCGCCGTCAAGAAGAGCCGCATCAAGAGCAAGGAGAAGGCCGAGGAGACGCAGCGGAGGGTGAACGAGCTCAAGGAGGAAAACGAGCGCCTGGAGGCCAAGATCCAGACGCTGTCCAAGGAGCTCGTGGTGCTCAAGGAGCTGTTTCTGGAGCACGCGAGGAACGGGCCGGGAGGTGGCGGCGGACCTGGGGGAGGGCCGGCTCAAGCGGGCGGTGGCGGGGGTAGCAGCGGCGACGCCGCCTAACAGAGAAGGATGGGGGAGGAGGGGGGTGGTCGAAGCCCCGATCATCCGAGTTCGCCTCCACACATCCGGTAGAAGTTGACAAATGGCATCGGCGACCTGGGTGGTTGCCAATCACATTGTCCACTTTGTTTGCTGCATCTCGCCCTCCCACGGCTTCCCACCGCCCCGCTGACATCCCACCCCCTCTTGCCCCCCCACGCGCCCAACCCACATAATTTTCGGACGAGCCGCTTCATCCCACCGTAATTTGAGTTGTTCCTTCTGCTGGCGCACCTGTCCGATTCGCAGTATCGCTCTTGCTGCACCCCGCTATTTAAGAATGATCCACGCACCTTGGGGTGAAGAGAAGGGTGGCCGTGAAGTGCGTTCGAAGCGTGCTCCTTGGAAACGCTTTTTTGAAAACGTCTATCGAACATTTGTAAGCCGTGTCGTGGAAAAATGGCAGTACCATTGAAAGCAAAAAAAAACAAAAACATTTCAGCGTGCAGAGGTTTTTAACAGTAACCTTGGCATTTTTGAGGTCCTCGGTGGTGTGCGCAATGCAGTGGGCTCTGCAGTCTCTTATGAATTGTACATATAAGCTATGCTGTACCAAGCCCCTTGTTAGCCGCTTTTCTGTCGACAATGTGCGCTGCGTTTCTGCATCATACTGTAAGAAGAGCAGCGTGCTCTGCCCTTTGGCGCTAATTGTCAGGAGTGCGTGCTTGAATGTGCCCTTAGCTCATTGGCAATGCTTGCTGATTGTTATACTACCGTATTAAAGTAATTTGTCTCTGGGAAAAGCATTTCCGTTTTTAGAAAAAAAAGGCTACACAAAAAAATATCCTACACTTCAGAAACAACCAATACTTTGTATTATATAATGTATACTAAATAAACGCGTTTGTAAAATAACGAAATTCGTTTGTCCACCAGTAGTATGACTGTTTTCTTCTCATGTGTCATGTTATGTGTTACAGGTTTCATTTTCAACAAGTCTTGTTTAAAAAGTGTTAATGCATTTACTCTATCTTCATCATGGGACCTCCTTTGCCAGTACCTAAATATACTAATAGGGGTTTTTCCCCTTTTTTTCTGGCAACAAAACTGACACCTTTTGCAAGGAATCATGTTTGCATTAACCACAATACTTGCAGTCGGAGTATTGTTTTTTGTTTGCATTTGACTGCAAGTATTGTGGTTAATGTAAACATGATTCCTTGCAAAAGGTGTCAGTTTTATTGCCCGAAAAAAGGGGAAAACCCCTGTTAGTTTACTCTATCTTGTCATGGATTTTTAAAACCTAGCTGTCAATCTTTTGTTGTTCTATTCGGTATGTGAAGGCCTTTCCATGCCGTGTCAAGTCTCAAGATTTATTTTTACCGTACTTCATGCTGGTCAGTGCGTGTTGGTAAAGTGGAGAAAGAGATCCAGGACCGGCTCCATGACCAAGAACTTCACGTGGTCCACTGGGGTTCATCGAGCATCGCACGAACAACTGTGCCACTGCAATGGATACCTTGTTTAAAATCCCATGCTGTACAATAATACATTGTGATACAACTGAGGATCAAGAATTCTCACAGGTGAGTATCTGTACTTAGGACAGATGGTAAACAAGTAGCACCGCGATCAAGTGTGCGGACTGTACAGCTGCATCAAGACCCGTGAAGACAAGGTCCAGGCACCGGGCTATGAAGGGGGGGGGGGCGGTTAGTAGACCAGGGGGACCAATTTTATTCCTTGTGCCCCTGGCCCATGCCGACTGTGCTACGCCACTTGAGGGTAGATATGTTTAAACGTGTGCGTATTAGCTTCTGGCACTTGAGCTATTAATAAAAGCCAATAAATGGAAAAAGACGCTGAGTGGGAAAAGTTATATCTACTAGCTTCTACAGAGGACCAGACGGTGGCTATTTTAATACCACCCTGAACTGTCAATGGCTGGCAGTTGGGAGAGAGTCTTAAGCTGCGCCCACACACACCCACGCACAAAGACAAAGATCCCCCATACAGTCCACACAGGCTGTTGGGGCAAGTGCTGTGAGCGACCACCAATGAATGCTGGAATGGCGCACGAGGGGGTGCAGTGGCCAGCATAACACCTAACCGCTTTTATCTCCCCACTGCCTACGTTTACACATCGCACCAGCTACTAATTGAAACCTGTGGTTGACCTTAGGGGAGGCCCGGGACCCGTCTAGATATCTCAATTTGTGTTGACCATGAGCAGGAATTGAGTTGCCAGCTTTTCTAGCCCGTTACAGTAACCAAAGCGCCGGTCGCTCCACTCACTCGTCTTGGGAGGGGGCCTTGATGTTGTCATCTGCCAAATGAGATGCAGCTTTAAATAGTACCTGTCAGTTTATGACGAGTCGTGTTGCAAGAAGTTAATTGTTGAACGGCTGCGGGTATTTTAATGCCCCTTTTGATGGGTACGTCTGAAACATGGGCAGCCCAAGACCCTCCCAAGTTGGTCACGTCCGGCACCAGCGAACCGTAACAGCAGAGGCGGGGATCAATGTCGGCTGGGTCTGTGCGGGTTGGCGACCCAGGGAAATATGTTTGGCACCCGGCTGACCACACCCAGTGTATGCTACGGCCACTATTCACATGCCCCACTGTAGTCTGCCGGCAACGCATACAATATTCGGTGAGAGATTGCACCCCAGGTGCAGGTGTGCCTCGTTCGATGTGGACTCTTCCATTTTGATATTCGTGGTCAAAAGACGGATCCTGGTCAGCCCTACCTGTACGTGAAATGGACTTTTCCGAAGAGTTGGTCGTTACGTGTCAATTTTTTTCGATTAACAGAGCTGCAACTGTGCTGCCGAACGAACAGACGAGTTGCGTACTCTTTCATCGTGTTGTACTGTATTTAACTTACCAATGAATTGACAGGGAATTTGTCGATTACCACTTCTGTCTAAAGCCTGGCAATGCAACATTGCATCGATGTGATGACTCGCACTCGAAATTACATGCTTGTGATCGTGCGTGCGAAATATATGAAAATAGGATTCATGTTACATTCATGCTAATGGACCAAAATAACACCGTACAATCGGGACGAGAACACGTGAATAATATAAGCAACGTGGTAAAACAAATTCTTGACTATCACTGGAAAGTAAATCATATCAGCCACAGTTAATCCCAAACCGTCACCATTTCTCATAGTCCCACGATGTGACAATCCACCCAGCGGCGTTTGCAAACGAGCCGATTCCATCACTCCGTCTCCACGGTTCATGTCCTCCCAGGCATGTCCCCTTCTTTGGCACCCATGCCTTCCTTAATCTCGTCCACCAGCCATCATCCATTCCACCGACATCTCCTGCCAAAGGGAACTTTTTTTCTTACGTAAAACATTGTCTTTGACCTATGCAATTTCTTGGAAGCACGTACTGCTTTTATGCGTGTTTCTAAAGTGTTAGTAATCCCACGCGTGCATTTGTCCATGCTTCTCTGCACACGTGATCTCATGCTCCGTCTTCGTGACGCATCGTAGCTGGCATTCGGATCACCAGGTGGCACGGCACGCGACACGTTCACATAGCCCGCGTAAATCAACCAGGGGGTTCTGTACACACCCCTTCTTTCTTAGCATTATGCAACGCCTGCTCGGTTGGATAAGGACTGGCAGAGCAACGATTACACATCCCTTTTGTGTACCAAGAAAATGAAACCACGGTTCCGCATCCAACGCCCCCGGAAGTGGCACGTTCACAAATTCACCGAACACCGAGGTTTGTCGAATTCGCTAGACATTTAAACGTCACCTCGCCAATATTGGAGGATTTGGTACATGCGTGTGTGTGTACATACTTCAGCGTGCTGGTCATTGCGGGCTGATAGAAGTGGGGAGCGTAGATGTCGGAGAAGAGTAAAGTACAGACTTTGCTGCACTGCGTCCCTGCTGAAAGATAGCCCTGCATCAGCCGAACAACTCCTGTCTGTCTGTTGAACTTCTTTTTTGCCGTACGTAGCCAACCGTGCTAAACAGAGGTGATGGGGGGAGGACAACAAACAAATCACAAAAGCGGTTTCAGAGAAATTAGTTTGTCATCGAGATTTAAAAGTGCATAGCTCCAGTGACTTCTTAATATCGGGAGGAAGAGCGTTCCAGACGGCCGCAGAAGGGCTCCTGAAAGCGCGCGATGCAGTGACCGTCTTTGTTCGATGGCCATCCAAACGCCGCTGCTGCGAGGATGACCGGAGTGCACGTGATGGTTTATGGGGCCGGTATCTGCAAGGTCGTCACTCTTCCAAGCACTACCTAGGCCCTCTCTTCACATACCGTGTGCTGCGTGGGTGTACGGAGGCGTCGGCTTTTTCGCTGTTAAGCGATTCGACTTTGGCTAGCACACGTCAGGGTCGCCAGGAAATCGCAGAATAGCGATGGAATCCTCCACCTCTGCGTTATCCTCCCACTGGTGCGGGTGTTTCTCTGGATCCTTATCCTCCCACATGCCACAGACAAATGGAAATAACTAAACATTCCGACGAACAGGCAGGCCCTCCTGAAACAAAAAAAGTTGATTGCATAAAAGAAAAAAAGTTCGGGACATTTGTTGCATCGCTCAAAGGGACTGTGAGCAATGGACAAGATTAGTAATGGAATGGCAGCTCGAGGAGGGAATGTGTATGGAGGACGACCACCGTTGAGATGAAGCAGTGAGATCAGCTCGTGGGCACGGGCGAGACGGACTGTGGCCATCGCAGGACCGCGAGGGATGGCGACGGCTTCGGGAGGCCTTCATCCAGCAGTGGATTGATGATGGCTGATGATGACGATGAGTATAGGATACGTGCTTTAGAGGGAGGCGTACAATTCAGAATCAGAATATTTATACTGGAGAAATCCAATGAGCTATCCGGCTCTATATTTCACGAGTGAATATCAGCTGCCATGAGTCGTGTTTTTTTAAGTCAAGGTTTTGAGAACAAGACCATAAAACACCAAGTATCCTGCAACAAAGAGCACTGTTTAAAGTTGCAATGGATAAAGAGTTCATACGTTTCGACGATTGAGAAAGATGATGATGAATAATAACTTTGGGAGGGGTGGGGGGTGCGAAGCAGACTATGGGAGGGGAATTCCCAAGCGGGAATAGTTCGAGGCAAGCAGCAAACTGAGAAGTGTTTGGCCTGTAGTGTGGTGGTTGAACACCACGTGTGGATGAGTCAAAAGCAGTCTGGTAGCCAGAGACACCCCACGTGGAGTGGTGGATGTTGGGGAGGGGGGGTAGCTAACAGCAGCGGATAGACATTGGATGTGGATGACGACTGTGATACTTCGTGGAAGTCTTCCATTCGCACTGGAACCAAGTGTTTGCAGGAGGAAGTCATTATGGGCACTGGTGGGTGGTCAAATCGTGTCACTTCATTACGATAATTCGCGTTGGCTGCGAGCCACCGCCGTTTGCCCTCTGGTGACCGGCTGCTCCTGTGGCCCACAGCACTCGCACTGTATGGGCGACCGGTGGGTGGGTGCGTGGGTGGGTGGGTGCGTGGTTGGGTGGGTGGG